GGGGGGGGGGGGGAAGAATTATATGTCCCGTTGGTAGCTAAAGGGTTAAGAGTTTGTCAACAGATTCAGACATTCTGGATAAGACTCTGACTGAAGAGTTCATTTCACCGCATTACTCATGCTTATTCATTAATTTTCTTGAATTAATATTTTTAAAAATTAATTTTCTATAATTATCATGCTAACGTGCGGATTTTTTTCGTCTGATTTGATGAGTTCTATGTGCACATAAACGAAGTATGCATTGCATCAACAGCTATGTATGGAACATGCACTATTCAGTTATCTCGACCTTTTTGAAATAAATATCTTATGAAACGGTTCTATATGAAGACTTTTATTGTGATATATTAAGATTTGACTTATGATTTGTTTATGTATAATTATCGACTTATTTCGATTCTGCGTAACGAGATTCGACGCTATACTAAGGAAAATTTCCATTTGGAATTCTTCATTTGATATTAGAAATTTGATATTTGAAATTGGAAATTAAAAATTAAACAACACAGATCGAAATTTCTTAATTTAAATTTCGATTTTCGATATTTAAAATTTAATTTAATTTATTCCATCATTTAGAGCAATCGAATCAACTTCGTTTGACTCTATTTGACCAATCTACATTATATTTTTTCGTCTAGATTGTAAGTATTACCATATAATATCATAAATTAGGATATTGTGTATATGAAGAACAAATATATCTTATTTCTTTTTTTAATACAAAAAACCATTTTTCGTATCATTTTTTCGAGTATAGGAATAGTATCTTTAGACAAAAAGAAATAGGTTAGTGAAAGAAATTGAGGAAACTACATGTATATGATGCATCAAATAGAAAATGTTTAACCTATAGTTTTTCGTTTAAAGTTGTTAAATTCCTCTTGAGTTTAAACTTTCATTTTGTTTTCAAAATTCTAAGTAGAAAACTATTTTTATCACTTATTTGAGACGTAAAATTTAGCGCTCTATTCCCATTCATTAATTAAATCTATCTACCGTAATTCTATCGAATCTGTAAACGTTGGAATGTTTGGATTGAAAATAGGAGCAAAATTTCGACTCGGCTGAGAGTCAATTACTGAATCGTAATTTCGATTCGTTTCGCGTGTAAGCGAAGTGATAGGCGCTTTTCGAGCGGCTGGACAAAGAGGCTGTTTGCTACTGGTGAGAAGAAAAATATCAACGATACTCTAGTTTACACTGAAATGGTTTTGTAATAATTAACTAATGCGTTTCATTGAGCGTTTCAGTGTTATATTTGATATAATTAGTATCAAAATTTGGTAATAGTTACCAACCGTCCAGTAAAATGAAATAATTAGTAAAATCTTTATTTAGTTGAACTAATTAAGTGACTTACTAAATAATACCAACTAATAATAATTATTTAAAAATTATAATAAAACTTATCTAATAATTATTTACTAATTTAGTAATTAATAAAATTAATAATAATTACTAATAATTTGATTCTTATTCAAATATTTCGTTACATTTTTCATGTTTACTTATCACGTGATAAGTATTGCTAAATAATATATTTTATTTTACGAATTATTTTATGATACATAACAAGTAAATTAGTAATAATCGCCAAATTTTAACAACAGATGCCAAGCTTTGACATCAAATATTAAGCGTTGTTAAAGTTATTTGTTGATATTCACCAAATTATGCTTGATTATATTTATCTACATATTTTTAGTTGAAACTATTTTACCATCTAATAACTATAATCCAGGCTTGATAGTTGTTACTAAATTTTTTTTCAGTGTATTTGTTTCTTCTCGCAGCAAGATTTCTTTGTCTGGTCGCCTCGTGTACACCGACTGCCCGAGGCACAAGTGCGATTTTTGACCTTCCAAACTCGTTACACGGACGACAGGTGAGAGAGTGCGGGTGCTCCCTCTTATTGGATAATTAGGATTCCCCGTTTATTCCTACCGTACGTGTATTTGACGTGAATGGATCGCGAGGCCGAAACCGGTTTCGCGGCGCGAGAGCCACGAAATCGATCGCGGCGACTGCGATTTGATTCGCGTCACGGATCTCCAGTTGCTTTTAAGATTAATCTTTTGACAAAATATTATCGCCCGTCAAATTTATGCCTCGGAATCAAGGGTGCATTTTCATCCTTTCGGAAAGAGGCGGTGCGTCTTTGTATCAAATGTTATCTTTCGGAGATAAAATACATTGGTGATAAAATACATTGATGATTCGGGTATTAAAAATTTGGATGACTAATCTTAGTTTAGTCAACAATTTCAGTTTGTTTTGTTAGTTTCTTTATCGACCTTTATCGACGGTAAACATCCTTTATGATATTAGACCTTTATCGACGGTAAACATCCTGTATGATATGGAAAAAGACTAACATTGTAACATTTATGTTTTGAAATGCATTTAATTATAGATTTTAAGTGAATATTTGGCAACTATTATCTATATAATATGTAATAATAATTGCCAAATACTTAGTAAACTTGAATTATGAAGGACTTCTTTATTCACAGTAAAATGGTTTAAAAGATTTAATAACAGTTACCAAATATTTATCATTTGTTACCAAATATTTGATGTCTATTATGAGACATTTAATAAGTATTATGAAATCTCATTCAATTTCAATTTACGAAATATTGAGTAACTATTAATATTTATCTTATTAAGGTAATCAATTTGGTGTCTATCATATTTAGTGTCTATTAACTATATCTATTTGTATATTTATCACCTATTGATAGATGATATCGTCGCATATCGATTGGTATTGCGTTGTTCTCAATATTTGCTAATAAGTATGGCATTATCACATTTCTTGAAAGTTGTAAGTATCTATTGTATGAGTATAAAGATATCATCAAAGTTTGTAAAACTAATTAGTTCCTATTCGATTATTGATATCGCAAACAACGGTTAAACGTGTGTAGGAAAAAGATGGATAACTATTATAAGATTAAAAGAAACCACAGAGAGAATTTCACGTATTTAGAACGATTATTAACGATTCTTTTCATCTCACATATCGTCAGTAATACAAAAAGAAATGAAATATCAGATTTCTTAAAATAGTTTAAATAGAACGATAAAGTTTTTTTAAGT